TAAGTACAATTTACCTTTGCATTTATGTCTTATCCCATATAGGTATGAATTACCGGAATCTATATGTTATACCCACTCTAAATATTATTTACCTGGACCTCTATATCTTACTCCAAATAGATATAACTTACCTGAATACCTATGTCTTTCCCCACATAGGTATCATTTACTCTAACCCTTATTGTCTTACCCAATAGAGATATAATAAACCTGACCTCTTATGTCTTACCTCATATACGTTTGATTTACCTGAACCATTATGTCTTAACCAATATAAATACAATTTATATAAACTCCTATGTCTTTCACTAAATAAGTACACTTTACCTGAGCCTTACGTCTTACATTTATAAGTATACATCACGTGCACCCTATATCTTACCCTTATAAGTATAATTTACCTTAACCCTTATGTCTTACCCCACATAGATATAGTTTAACTGAAACTTATATACATTTGTAGGTATAGTCTACACGAATTTCTAGGTCTTAACCGATACAGGTATATTTGTAACATTATATAGCGTTTTATAGAAATCTCTCCTTTTTCGCTATGGTCATATATTTCGGACCACTTTAGACACCATGGATTTACCATTTTTCTGACATGTAGTACCACTGATGAACCTAAATTGCCGAATTGGCAACATAACATGGTGTAATTATAGATTTAACTTTGAATACTTTTTTCATCTACAAACAGTTTGTTATTCTGATTAGTTTACATGACAAAGTGATTTAACTCTGCTGGTAGACTATAAATTCCAAAGGTTTGCTGCAACCTTGAAGCTGGAATTTATTCAGACACTGTTAATACGAGATACTAATATCTTTTATTTGCAAATTATTTATTCTGTTTTAAAAACAGTGTTTTTAATACGAATACACCAGGTATGTCATCCCGGATACACTAACGACTGATCAAAAGGAGTTGTGAAACGCAGTACATCAAATTTATGAAGACATCATTTAGTTTGGAACAGTCTGTGAGTACAAGGTGAAACCACTTCTGTTCCATCATCTTGTTATTATTGTAGTTAAGCTCATTACATCCTACTCTCTTTCGTTAATGGTTAGTTACGATAAAATGTGGTCGAAACCACGTCACTGGACATCAACTGGACAATTTTGTTATATTTTTCTTTCTCTTGGTAAAGCCTATACCAGACTATATATTGAAATATAAATACGTTGCTCATGTGTATAAAATTTCAGGTTCACAGTAATCCAGTAGCCATAGGGAATACACACTGTTTACAATAAACATTTACGTTTTTATAAACCAGGTTACATTGTCTCGGTGAGTGAATCAGTTGTCGCCACCAGCAGTAATAGCCTTACACAAATCTGTGTTTACAACCTAGTACTTTGGTCGGACTGGGAGTGCAATTTGCAAAAGCTTAGTATTAGTTCTTTTCGTAATTCGCTCCATTTCCCGAATTGAAATTGAATTATTTTCACTGACACGCCAGCAGATTCAACTTTTTCCTATCATTACATCTGATGAAGCATACACATTCCTAAAAACGTTATTTTAATACTAGGTCATCCCCAACAAATGATCAATCTTATCAACAACAAATGTCAGGTCGAACAGAAAATACAACACAGCAATAGCATCCAACACATCAGTCTGGAACCCACCACAGGTCGCCTGTGGTTCTGTTGTAGGAGTTAGGGCAATATCCATGAAGTGTCCTCATTATCTACACCGATCACTCGGTTCACTACAAAGGAGTTCCTGACCAGTCTGTGTGTGACCAGGGAGGGTCGGATAGTGTTGGGTACAGTGGATTCAAATGGGCACAAGGTGGTGATGCACACAGCAGATGGCCGGGAGTTACACACGGCCTCTGTGGAGGATTCGGGGCTGGGAACTAGTTACAGGTAACATAGCTGTAGTAAGCAGTAAACTAATAAGGGGAGACGGCTAGGATCCATACGGCTGGGAAATATACATCCCATCGCAGAGTATGGTGTTACATGTAACATAGCTGTAGTAAGCAGTATACTAATTAGGGGAGACGGCTAGGATCCATACGGATGGGAAATATACATCCCATCACAGAGCATGGTGTTACATGTAACATAGCTGTAGTAAGCAGTAAACTAACCTGGGGAGACGGCTAGGATCCATGCGACTGGGAAATATACATCCCATCACAGAGTCTGGTGTTACATGTAACATAGCTGTAGTAAGCAGTAAACTAATGAGGGGAGACGGCTAGGATCCATACGGATGGGAAATATACATCCCATCACAGAGTATGGTGTTACATGTAAAATAGCTGTAGTAAGCAGTAAACTAATTAGGGGAGACGGCTAGGATCCATACGGCTGGGAACTATACATCCCATCACAGAGTATGGAGTTACATGTAACATAGCTGTAGTAAGCAGTAAACTAACCTGGGGAGACGGCTAGGATCCATACGGCTGGGAAATATACATCCCATCGCAGAGTATGGTGTTACATGTAACATAGCTGTAGTAAGGAGTAAACTAATAAGGGGAGACGGCTAGGATCCATACGGCTGGAAAATATACATCCCATCACAGAGTATGGTGTTACATGTCACATAGCTGTAGTAAGCAGTAAACTAATTAGGGGAGACGGCTAGGATCCATACGGCTGGGAAATATAAATCCCATCACAGAGTATGGTGTTACATGTAACATAGCTGTAGTAAGGAGTAAACTAATAAGGGGAGACGGCTAGGATCCATACGGCTGGGAACTATACATCCCATCACAGAGTATGGTGTTACATGTAACATAGCTGTAGTAAGCAGTAAACTAATAAGGGGAGACGGCTAGGATCCATACGGCTTTCACACTAAATTCTAAGATGGCCACTTGATGACCGTAAATTATTCTTAAAATCCAAAAGGCTCAAGTAATATTGTACAATTCATATCAAAGTGAACATGTGGACATAACTTAGTTTGAGAAAATCGGGCCAGTACTTTATTAAAAGTAGCGATAACAAGAATTGTAACGATCTTACCAAGGACGAAAGACGATTTGGAAAGCTCCGCCATCTTATGATGTTGGGCTTATAAACAACCAACCGTTTATTTACAGCCATACAGTTTTAATAATTAAATATTACATGGAATTTGTACAAGAGTTATACTGTATGTTTATTATGAAAACAATTAATGTTGGAAGAATGTCACTAACGTTTGTAAACATTTGATGTTGTTCGAGAAAAATGTTAATGTATTATTGCTGTGTTTGTGGAAGTGAAGGGCAAATCCTAGCATTGAATTCTTTATTCATGAGGGACACATTTGTTACGCAATATATAAGTATGATGTTTTGTTCGTGAAAGATTTAATTGCCATATAGTGTCATTATACCAGAGATGGTGTCAATGCCACAAAATGCTCGCCTGTTAATTTTTTTATCCTAATTACAAATTTATTTGTAAAAATGTAAAGTTCAAAACTTCAAAAGTCTAAAAAAAAAAAATGAAATTATTCTTTAATTTTAACTTCAATACATCAATATCATAATCCACAGGAACCTCCATGCCAAATGTCAGCATCCTACTACACATATTTCATGAATGACAAGCTTCTAAATAACTTGCAGTTTAAACTTTAACGTTGATGTGCTTCAAAAACGTTAAGTACAATACAGATGGAAAATTTGAAATTATTTATAAGTTTTGACTTCAATACATCAATAGCATACCTTACAGGAACCTCAATGCTAAATATCAGCATTCTAGTACACATATTTAATGACCGACAAGCTTCTAAATAACTTGCAGTTAAAACTTTAACGTTGATATGCTTCAAAAAAGATAAGGGAAAAAACGGAAAATAAAATAAAAAAAATGAATTTATTTTTCTATTTCTACAGTCACTACATCAATATTATACCCCACAGGAACCTCAATGCTAAATATCAGCATTCTAGTACACATATTTAATGACCGACAAGCTTCTAAATAACTTGCAGTTAAAACTTTAACGTTGATGTGCTTCAAAAAAGATAAGTAAAAAAAAAGGTAAAAAAATCAAAAATTTGAAATTATTTTTTAATTATTACATCACTACATCAATGTAATACCCCACAGGAACCTCAATGTCAGCATCCTAGTACACATATTTAATTAATGACAAGCTTCTGAATAACTTGCAGGTAAAACTTGAACATTTTCACGCTGATGCTCACGCCGGGGGTAACGCTTTAGCTCTCTGTTCTTCGAACAGGCGAGCTAAAAATTAAGTAACAATAAAAAAAAATGAAGGAAACGTCAGTAACGTTGTGTTACTATATGGTATATAGCTGCAATGTTTCGTTCGTGAAAGACATAAAAGGTAGCATAGTGTCACCACACAATATACAGCTGTATCACTTTCTTCGAGGACATAACGGTCATCTTGATACATAACACAATACATAGCTTCAATATTTTGTTGATAAAGGACAAAACAGTCATAATGATTCACTATACAATATATAACTTCGATATTATTTTCGCAAAGGACCTGACAAACACATTGCGTCATTAAGCAATGAACTGCTTTCAGTTGAAATTCATAGGCATTGTGAATGCAAACTAGGCATATGTTAATTCAAGTGCGCTAGTGCTTCATTTTCGTTTCGGCTAAGTCCAGTTGGCATTCAAAATGCTTGTGAATGCCATCTGAACGCAGTTCAGTACTTATTTTAACCATTTGTTTGAACCGTTTTTTTCTCAAAGAAGGTTCAATTACACGTATTAATACTATATTTCAAATAATGAATTTATCGTATGTTTGGTCATTGAATAGAACAGGTATATGTACATGAAGGGTCTGTGGTATCCAACATAACAATTATGGACGTCCTCATAACTGTGACGTCACGATCGGTTCGTGGTATTCATCATTACCGTCATCTGAAATGGCAATGCCTTGCGTTGGTAAACATTAGATAATATATAGCTAATATATAATATATTATATAGATAATATAATATATATTTTGTTCTTTAAAAACATCTAAGTCATATTGTGTCGCATCACAAACCGCAATAGATAGGTGCGGTGTTTGTTCTTGAAATGTATCATCTTATACAGTTTTACAGTAGAGAATAGAGAGATCATGTTGTGTTTATACACTACATTTGTGTCGTGCCCAAAAACAAACAACTGCTACGTTCGGTGTTGAAGGTAATTTTATCGCTTCATCTAAAAACGATATTTCATACGGCTATATACCATCTTAATTTTTGGATAAACCATATTCCGAAAAAAGTAGCTTATATCGGTTTGCAAGACAAACCTACCCAAATATATTGATATACGTGTTTTATTTTCCCCATATCAATCGCCTTGTATTTTAATAACGACGTTCTACACATAAAGTTAATTACAGCTGATGTCGAAGATCACTTATGTTATCAAACACATATATTCCCACAACATCATTACAGTGAGAGCAGCCTTACGCAATGGCATCTTACCACATGATCCTATTTGGTACTTCTTTATGTGTGTGTGTGTGTGCGCGTGTGTATGTGCTGGAGACTGTATCTATGTTCTACTTTTTATGGGTCCGTATTTCCAACGGCTCATTAACAGTACCACATCACTCGAACACCACAGCACAGAGTTTAACCCCTCGTCACATCACTCGAAGACCACAGCACAGAGTTCAACCCCCTGCTCAGGGAAACCTCATCACAGCCTTCGAACCTACGACACGACGATACTGTGTTTATCGAAGATGCTATCGTGTCTTGCTAATTAGACGTGCCCCAGGCGTTGACAACGTCATTCTGGTGAAGACTGTGATATCATGGATGTTTTCCTGCCACCTTAGATGACTTTTCTTCTGCAGGTGTTTTGCAGGTGAAGAACCGATGTTTTGGTTAGACTTTCTCGTGACGTCACTCATGACGTTTTTCATGTATTTATGGCGTCACGTTTGTGCGTCAAAACAGTGATATCAAGAACGTTTTCATTTGACATGATAGTTTGTCCCACATCCTTGTGATTCTTCCTTAACACATTCACACCATTCACCGCATAAACATACTGTCGCACCTGTAAATAAGGGAGGTAATCAAGACTTAATATACGCTGTTACTCCAACATGGTACACCTTTTACTGGAGACAGGCCACTATCGGAAGGCGAGCTGACTCTCAAACTTATATTCCGTCTTTTCGTATTTCAGAGTTATCTGCTCTTGTGAGCAGTTATTGATTATTACGTCATTTGTTTGTGAGAGTAACGTCGTTTATTTTTGAGAAAACGACGTAATTTCTCACACAAACCAATGACGTAACATTCAATACCTGCTCACAAAAGAAGATAACTCTGCAATACGCAAAGACGGAATGCTGAATATGCTGAATATAATGTTATATTTGGAGTATAATCTTATGAAACATATTTTATTTTCAGGGGGGAAACAGTTCTATAACATCAATGTAAAAATTCTTTGTAAAATATGTTTATTAACAAGCCATGAAACATATATTTGATGTTATCAGTAGATGTTATACTGTTACCTTTAGTCCTGCCAAGGCGGCTGGCCCGGTGGGGTCCACAGTCTGGACGTAAGTAGGCCCTTCACCTCGTAACACGACTCCGTATCCAACTGAGTCACTGATTATCTGAAACAGCGAAATTATATTCATACACAACATTTGACCTAAATAGCATAAGCACGCCAGTTATCACGTATTTTACGTATTAATATAAATTCGATTTTTTTCTAAGCTATGTAATATATAGTCATATATATTTATATGTTGTAATATATAGCCATATGTATGTATCTATAGTAAAACCTTACTTTTAAGACCCCAAAGAATGTCTAACTATAATTTAACCAAAACACCGTCACTATCTAGTCATTTGTTGATATTAGTAAAGGCAGGTTCCATTGTAAGGTATAAATGTCCAATCAATACAAACGATTTTTATTCGTTTTCATGAAACGTTTGATGAAGTTGAAAGATAAAATAGGGGGAATATCCTATTCAGCACACAAGAGCAAAATCAAAGCTTTTGAATCACCTGTTATGATATGTTAACTTCTGTCAAATCCAAGAATTATTTCGTCTGTCAAAATATAATATACGATCAACATGCGTTTTTTAATCATGGTAGGTCACGAGGGCAACCACCAAATGTCTTCCTTGAAGATTGAAGCCATCGGTAGAAAATCCTAGCTTCGTAATAAGATTCATCACCAGGAGGGATGTATTTAAGTGAATAAACTGTGACATTTATGTTATACAATGAGTAAGAATCAAAAGCTTTAAATAGTGCTATTTTGAACAAAGAGGGAGATTCAATGCCCTCAGATGTCTTTTTCATATTTTTTTCATAATCAATGCTGTTTCAAGGCACTGCAGGACTACAATTTACTGAGGTTAGAATTCGGAAAGTGAGCCGAAAGTGATTCTCCGATTTGTCAATAAACCATTTTGTTGAGGAAAGCTTATGAAATGAAGTTTTTGGTCTCTTTTTTGTTTTTGATGACGTGACATTATTTAGATTTGACCTAGATTGACAAGGTAAGTGTCATCGCGGAGGCAAAAAGTCTATTTTTCATGAATTCCTGGTCTTTATATCGTGCACTATTTAATAATTAATTTGTAAGTTCATGTTTTGCTGTAGTTTCATCGATTTTGTGCCGAGTTATTTTTCTATTTTAAAGAGTTTAAGGATGTTTCCAGCTACAACCACTGTTCATTTGGCAATATAGATAATCCATTGTCATCTCTAATTTTAGTAAACAAAGGTCAAACTTATCTATCATAATATATGAACCCCACCTTTACATATTGTATCATACCGGCATATAATAGGCCATAGAGATAAAAGACCCTGTCCCGATACTGTAACTTTGATTTATATTAAAAGCGACTGACCAGTAATCAACGCCGATATACTATAGTCAGTCGTATAAGTGTTGTCATCAATGTACACTGTATAACTAGCGGGGCTATACATAAACAGCTTGGAAAGATAAATCAAAGTTAAAATATGTAGTCTCCACTGCACAATAGATAACTAGAGGTATACACATTATACAGATAAACAGTTCTGAAAGATACAAACGTCGATATATGTGTTAGTGTTACTATCTGTAGGTGTTGTCAAAATCTGCCGAGTCATATGGAGTATACAAACAAACAGCCAATCAGCTGTAAGGAGACGAGGGTGTGCTGTGTTGACCTAAACACGTGCTGTCTATGGAGGAAATCTGCAGTTGATAATATCAATTATTTCATCATTTACTTGCAACTTTACACACATATATATAAGGAAATCAGACATAGACAAACGGTGCAGACAAACTGATTCTAATGTTCACGGTGACCTGTTTAAGACTAAAGGAAACCTACATACAGACAATTGGGACAATAACTTGACATAGAAAGCATTAGCTACCGGTAGAAACAAGCGTGTCTTCTTTTAGGACCACAGAACCATTTCGAAATATGTGTTGAGAAAAATGACTCATTTACAATATAAATTGATAGGAAATGATTAAGTAGGAACATGAGTTTGGTAATATGTAAATAAATTTTACACAAACAAAAAATGAAAATTGGTCACAAATTATGCATTATTCATCAAATTCTTATTCATTTCTGAAATAATCTCTACGCTATCATGGCATAAATGACATCTTATTTTAATGGAGATAATTTGGCTCTTAAAAATCTAAAAATAGGAATAAAAATGTATGATAAAGAACATTAAGACTTATGAAGCGAGGTGTCCCTGGGTCACTGGACAGAGTTGTTAATACATAGGGTCCAGTCAGTCAGCTTCACAAATTACCACAAATCATTCGTCCGGTTTATTTTCAAAAATATTTTAAATTGCTTATAAAACGTGCATGTGCCATCATGACTCAAAAACATTATTTGAAGGCATGATTAACGTATGGGATGATGCGTGATTTACTAACCGACCATCGTTGTATAGTTGAAGTATGGGATGATGCGTGATTTAATTACCGACCATCGTTGTATGGTTGAAGTATGGGATGATGCGTGATTTAATTACCGGCCATCGTTGTATGGTTAACGTATGGGATCACGCGTGATGTACCTACCCTCATTCTTTGCTTTACGTAAGGGGTATCAGGTGATTCTAGTTCGTCCGCAGTCGCTTGGCGCAACATCACTGCAATATAGAATGCGAAATCATCACTGGAAATATGAAGTAAGGAGAGAATTTTGATATACATGTAAACAAGTCGATTTATATAAAGCCTAAAACTAGACACTTTAACATTTATTTTTCACCGATCTTCTACACAGATTCTAACACCTGTATCATTTTACCTGATTTGGGCGCGTTGGCCTCCCCGTTGTCGTTGCTGTGTTCGTGTTCTGACGACCAGGACCCACTCTGATCTAGTGAACCAGGATAGCCATAGTCCCTATCCTCTGTATCTGTGGTTACACAAACACATATTTCAGATAGTATAAATGTTATCAAATAAAACCAAATACAGAAGATTTGTTATTAAATTTTGAAATTGCGGCTGTTTGACTATTTTCACTGTTCGCCTCGTTAGGCTAGTCATCTTTGTTAGCTCTACGTGACTGGATAATACGACGGCGGAATTTGAACAGATTGTGGAGCAAACGTTTCCCTATAGCAACCGGAGGGTAGGAGCTAGATGAACGCCGCTCGCCTGTATTTGACTTACTCGTTACGAATCTTGGAAGTGTATGTTCCTCCTGCGAGTCTGTAGAGGAGAAAGACAATCTGACTTGCGTCGTTTCGGTTGATAATTTAAAGACATCAGCCAGAATACGCCGCCGTGCGAAGTCTATAGAGAATTGGTAAAGGAGAGATTCGGAGTTCCTGAAGTGATGGTCGTCTGTCACTAAAACATTCAATCAGATCTCAAAATTTCCTTTCCTTCAGCAGGAAAATATTGACATACAATACCGTACAATGAAATCTGTCTAATTTTCATCCACGTCTGCCTAATTTTCATCCACGTCTATCTAATTTTCATCCACGTCTATCAAATAGGACATGAACAAGTAATTTTCATATTTCGGGGTGGTTTTGGTAGACAATAAATGCTTACTTGGACTAACCAGACTACAGGGTTTGACTTTAATAAATTTGAAGTTGAAAAGAGTAGTTGCCTAGGTCAATATTACACTGCTATATTTGGAAGTTTTAATGTTTAAGCTTTGAATGTGTCATGGTTTGATTGTTATGGTATTGAGACTTAATTTTGAGAGTTAAATGTTTTTTTCGTGAAACTTTTATGATTTGAATGTTAATACTTGGAAATTTTATCATTTGTTATTTTTTGTTTATGACATGAGAGTTTCACAAATTGTGCCTTGCGGGTTTCATAGGTTAATTGTTAATATTTTTCAGGTTCTATAGTTTTCATGGTGTTGTTTCTGTCATGGTATTTTTAAGATCTCATATTTTATAATGTGAACATTTTATGGTTTAATAGTTGATATTTTGCTAATTTTTTGGTTTCATATACTATATATAAAGTCTTTTTATATTTCCTAGCAATAATGTTATAATAAATTTAGCAAACAAATTCATTATCGAATTATCGTTATAATCAAGTTTATATGTCATCAAAAAATATTTGGGTCTGATATGATACCGATAAAACATTGAAAACATAAATCGCATAAAAGAAATTTCATTATGAGTTTAAGTATCGTTTTACCGTGTCGTATAATATTGTTTTCCAGTAGCTGACGGCCAAGGTAGATTGCGTCCTCTCGTGTAACAGCCTCTTTCTGACCAGTCAACCAGTCCGTAAACTTTGACCCAATAAAGGCGTTGTGGTATGTCTGGCCGCCCTGAATAAAGTCCCGGGCCAGGCCTTTCTTTTTCGTCATTCTAAAACAAAACATTGGTGTAGGTCAGATCTTGACTCGATTCCCTTATCGAAATGGATGATATGCCATTTTCCTTGGTAATTGGAAAAAGTAAAAAAGTAATCGTTCATTTAAATGAAAATGACATAAAACATAATGTACTGAACATTCAATATCTCAAAATTTAAACATCCGAGTCAGTTCTACGTACATTTGGTATTTACTGATAAACCAATCGAGCCAGTATAAACATGGATTGGTGTGCTTACTTGTGGTATATCCTGATGCCAGTGTAGAAAAGCGTTAGATCTTTGTCGGCTGACGTGTCGTCGTCACGTCTAAACCTGTAGAACAACAGGTCGTCTTTGAATTTGTGATCATCGCAAACTGAAATGACAATATGAGGGTATTTCGATAATAGGTTAATGTCTTTTAAATACTCACACTGGAGTTAATATCGACCAGAGTAAGGTGCAACAGTTCATAGGCGAGGTTAGTTACCTCATGAAGAACAGTACAGATGAGGATCATATCTTATCATATCATACATTTTCTTTACTACCTGTGACAGAAGTTTCAATTCCCTTCCTTTAACTCTCCTCTACAGTTTTTCTCTTAAAATATGTAAAATTATACTATTCACGACTAAATTCGATGTTAGATTAATTCCTGATACTACACTTACTAGAGTATAGGAATATATAACAGTCACTGCTTTTGAAAGAATCCATTGACCAGAAGTTGAATTGCAGTCTAGTCAAGAAATAGATACTGTACGATTTCGACGTTTGTTTTATGTGCTATTATGTTGTTAGGTTGTAAATTTGTAACATAATTAGGGGTTCCCATTTTGCTGTATGTCTACATATATTTTGGAACACTTTGACACGATTCTATTCATTTGTTTCTTGAACTTGATATTACTGAAGAGTCCTAACTACACGAAATGGACATAAAGTGCAGTAAATGTTTACTTTGTTTGACTATCTCCGTCAACAAATTAAATTTTAATATTTGTTTCTTTGTTTCGTATTCTTTTTCGTAAGTGAAAAAGCATCATAATCCACATTTTCTTTTGTATGGGGTCTTTGGCAAATATTTTTTACACCAATAGGATTCATTTATATGTGGTTTCAGAGCAAACGACATAGATGTCGCCTAGGAAATTAGTCAACGTATTTGAATTGCGTGTATAAGTGATAACAATTGTCTCACCATGATGAAAAATTCCATACTTCTGAAGAATGCGCATGCCCGATATTGAAGCGCTCCTAGACGAGCAGTGTTTACATCGAACAAGCCAATCCACTATTTCGTTTCCGGCAAAGCACTGTCGGTAGTTCCGGAGGTGATACCGCCGATCTCTGATCAACATGGAAGAGTGCATCTCTGTCCTTCAAATAAGAAGGTTAAAACTGTTGATATTACCTTTATCATGGATGCAGTAACATCTACAACTCAAAGTTTTAAAAAAAAACTGTGAATGTCTTTTTTTTTTTAAAGGATGGGTCACTAATATTACCAAATCTTCAACAAACCGGTGGCAAAGCCAATGATCCCCCGTATTAAACGTTCACTTTTGTTGGGTGTAACATTATGTATCCTAGGTAAATATGTCCAAACAAATGTTTGTTTTTTAACTGGAAAAAAATGAGATTATATGTTAGCTACGCAACTAAAATAAGTGTTTTACAACTGTTCTTCATGATGTCACTTCACTTCGGAATTGATTTTCAAAAAATATCGCCAACATTATAATAAAGTTACGGAGGAACAAAAGTATAAAGATATACACCATATATGACACCCATCCCAATTTATCCCGTCAACACAGAATCATAGGTAGGTCATTAAATATCTCGGACACAGTAAACAAGCCTCTGATAAGAGCAGCCAAAGAAATATCAGATTCTAATACCAGGTCATGATGATGGCCTGTTATGTGTTATACGTAAAATGAAGTTTTAAGTTAAAAAAAAAAAATTAAGTAGTTGATTTGTTAACGATGTACATCTTTCAAACAAATCTTTACAGTAAAAAAAACGGTCCATGACATGTAAATTGTTTCTCATAGAATACTGATTCGTTGGTACCAAGAAAAAGAAAAGTTAATAATACGTATATATTGGAAAACGTTATTTTTCTTAGAGTGAAGATATGTGACCATTATTCATACTGCATGTGAAAATAAAGATAAGAAGCTGAGTATGTGATGTCTTTGATATCAAAACATGGGAGATGAATGGGACAACGATGCTTATCGGACGTAAGTGGTGCATAGTTTAGGCTCCTTGTTTTACTCGTCAGATGTTCAATAAAACATCGTCATTTTCACTGAAAACAAAAGTTGATTTTTTGAGAGGAGATTTATGTATATCTTATATTAAGCTAAATGAGCGGAAGTCATTCTAGATAACGATGGAGCTTCAATGCTCTCTAGAGAATTTTTCGAAATATCATTCTTGATTGATATCGCTACGTGAGTAAATGTATCACGTACGCTATGTTTGAATGTGGGTTTTTTCAGCGATTAATCTGGTGGTTGAAACTTTGAAAAGTGACTTGGTTTGATAAAAGGGAGACTATAATGAACTGTTGTCTGTGAAGACTTTCGTGCAATATATGGATTCAATTTAGGGAAGGTATATCTCAGTCAGTCCATATTTGATGCAACAAATGGTTCGAGAACAGATAATGATTGGTTACTAGGACTACCAGCATTGTCGAACAAACCGAGGTATCATATACTGTCTTTGATAGCAGCGGCAAAAGCGAATTTGGATATTCCTGATAAGCACTGACTAAAATATTAGTTTTACCAGTGGAAGTATACTGTATATTTGTCATCAAACAGAGTTAAGGTTTCACTGTCGCGTGTTTTAACACGTGCGCAGAGATGTCCTTCGCGGTTATCTATCATGTGTATCCAAGCTGATATATGTAGCATTATCATCTCTACCTACATACATCATTGACCTTCTCTTCAATAGAGTTAGCATTATTATCATTATTATCATTAAAGAAACACGACTTTATAATAAGCCCAAAATATCCGGTCGTATTTATAATGCTGTATGATGTGTTCACTAGATTCTTTTCAGGATAGGGCGGCTATTTGTTTAATTTGATTACTTCCACGCGTTATAAATGTTTCCTTTCTTAATATGTTATTTCCTTGTAAATATATAATGGTTGTGTGATGCTTCCTTATTTACAAAACATTTGTTAGATATATGAACATTAACTTATTTTCTTACTTTCCATGCTAATATTGAAAAAGATATGTATATCCTGATAACGGAACGTATTTCGTGGAGTAAAAAGGGTGCCCAATGTCTGACCCAATATTTTACTGAAAAAAAATAGCAGGATTGCATTTTACCGCCTAATACGACTAGAGAAATGCAGGATAAACTAAAATATTTCTTATCAAATAAATTCAATTTTTTAAGCAAAATCGACAATTTGTTTATTTTTATTTTTGAGATATTGCTTTAAAGAGTTTGGAATATAGGAATAAAATTTCATAATTGAAGAATAATATATGTAATCTAAATGTTACCAAGTCGGATGGATTATCAATATTTGTAGTAAAAACCTGATATTTGTTCTGTGTTTAGCATTAACATGAACTGCTGAGTTTCTGTGAATTTAATCGATTTCTAATGGTTAGCTTAACGAGCTCGTACAAAACTTTTACATTGTACACTTTTAGACATTGGAATTACGAATTAAATCTCTAAGCTAATTAATCCAAAACGATTCTCCAGTATTATGGGGGAAAAATATATGTGAATTTTCAGAAATTTCCTTTTTTTAAATGCCCAAATGCGCTTAGAAAGTTTGTTATCAACTCATCAAGTTGATCAGGCTTGAAAAAAGTGGAACAGGATATAGTCATATAATTACCTTAACTGTTCGCCAATGAGGTAGATTTCGTGTTTCTCGGAGAAGCTGGTGGTCCTCTCCCTACCCGTCTCCATGGTGGTCGACAGTCTGTGTACGTTTCGGGTGTAGACGGGATCTGGTCGACAGATACAGCTGAGCAATAAGAGGAAGGACTGAACGGGTAACAGTTATCGGTGACGCATCTGATAGCAAGGCACGGTTAGATATAATTGTAGGGTCGAACCAGCGATATCAGTACATATACATCTGTGTACACTATATGCAAGTGTTATTGTACTATAAGATTATATTGTCACGTATTCAATATTCGTTATAAGAATTTTGACTGGCTGAACTTGCACCTCTTCTGGTACATATTAATAAAACTTAATACGGACCAGAAACGGAGTAGTGGTCCCATACTGTACACCAGCTTTCTGATTTATATCTCTATACAGTAGACGGTTGGTTCTTTTGGTTCAAATAAAATCAGCAATAATTTGTTCAATATTTTGTTACCTATATTCTTAAACACGACAATGAGCTACATGTATACAACTGTTCGTACGATTCGGATTTTCTGGAAGAATAAACAAACATTATTTGCCGGGAGGACGAAATGCCATTAAGTGTCGACATGCACTGAGAAGTTACAAGGTGTATATGGGAAGTCTATCGGCTCGCCTGGCATCAACTTAAAAAGCACTCACAAACACAATCATGACATACCTTATTTTAGACAGCTTTTCTAATCGCCTTCTCGCTTTGATTGGTAAAAAAATAGGATATAATAAAACACGTGATGTTTCTTTTTTTTATTGTTATTATTTATATCAGGTTTTTAAGTCCTCGAAACTTTCAGATAGCAATCTAAGGCGACGATAACTGAAATGCGTCCTGTTTGCTTGTTTTTAAGATTAAGCCGAGTAAATAAAGTTAAAAATCGTAGTACATGTGATCATATTGATAACGATATAGTTTGTATAAGTAACAGGAAATGGTTCAACGACGTACAGCTAGATACGTATGCAATAACTTCCATAATACAAGATGTTAGAAAATCTCGATTGGACACTCCTAGCTGAACGTCGACTCGTCTAAAAACACGACTTGTAGTGTACAACTGATATCCTCTTTTCTATTAACAGTAGAACCAGAAAATCAAATGATCAAAACTTCACACATATATCCGCAACAAACGACACCCTTAAATGGTCCTTCTTTCCGCGCACTATAGTCCAATGTAATGCCCTCTCTGCTGCCATTGTAGACTGTGCTACTGTAGACACCTTCAGAGATCAGCTGACTCCAGCTGTACTCGCACCTCTCCTACACTAAATACTACTTATATGTATATAGTTTTATGTTAAATCCAAAATAACAAAACAAACAAAAAATCTTCTAACTAATTTTGCGTCCCCCACGCACTCCAGGTAATCTTCTATGCCAAGAAGGTCTGATGAAACTATAAAGAAGTAGAGGAAGAACAGTGGCGATGGAGCTTCTTACGACACACATAAAAAAGCCACGTACCGATATGACTTTTGCGTGTATAGTTATATGTACAGATCAGGCCAGGGATCGACCAGATGTTTCACCTTGCTTCGGAATGGTGTCGTTCGTTGTTTTGGCGTCTCCTGATCGGTTCCCCCTTTGTGGTCAAGATGTGGAGATTTCTTTTTTATTCCATATTTTACCTTTTAAACAAATTTTGAAGGCAACACATTTTGCCTTGTACTTCTTGCATAAACTTAGCAGAATATAATATTTGTAAACATAAACTACACCACCAGGTGACTAGGTACTATTGTTCCCCACGCGTTATTTTTGATTCATTTATCATTTTATTTTTATTGTTTTAATCTGTATGATATGATAATGGCACTCATTATGCACATCACTAGCTCTACGGACAAGTCATGTTGTAAACCTTATTATCTGTCATAATGTAACACGTTAATCAGAGACCAATCACCAGGAAGAAACCAGCCACAACTAGGGGTACTAGCTTCCTGTTGTAATACCCGCTAACACATCCTGATAGCTGTTGTTTTGTTGTCGATGTTTTTATCGGTACAGTGGCAAAGATAAATAACCTTTCCTCCGTGTATGGATAATATTTTGACATGCTCCGTTATTAGGAGGTATTTATTTAAAGATTACGTCGATGGAGAATTCCAAATATTATAAATATTTAAAGCAACCTATGGCCATAATTTCGTATGGAGCTCAGGAAGGGGCTTATTACACTGAGATCAATAAGATATAGCGTCATAGCATTCCTGAATATTTTATATTCTTCGATAAAGATTGTTTTCTAGCTGATCTAGGTGTTGTTGACAAGCCGATGATATGACCGGATCCACCTTTTCCACAACTCGTTGTGTGCACTCCTACAGATATGCGAGAGATCGAGCTAGATATCTCATATTTTTGCATATCTTCCATCCTCTCAACTCTACTCCAGATGTCAGGGGTTATGCTCACTTACTTTCTCTTCACCTCTGGAATATGTAATGGCAAAATTGAAGGCACACAGCTAGCTATTTGATTGGTTTCGAGTAAAACACCTGACCAATTGTTAGGCTGTCCTTGAAGGTTACAGAGAATCGATACCGACTTCAATGCAGGCCAAATTTACCGTTATGCTGCCGTACCATTTTTCGATGTACATCAACGGACCAAATTAGTCTTCTTATATCATCCACAAGTGGTGCACACTGAGTCTCCGATTTTCTAAGGGTGCTGAGAACATAAGTGAGCGTAACCCATTGAGTGTCGTGGATGGTCCAAACATTCGTATTGTCTATGACCTATAGAGCATGATCGGGGTCGAATGGCTGACTCATCTTTCATGGGAAAACTCTATCTTACATGGCCAGCTTTGTAAAAATATCAATAGTATAGGATCTCAAATTCTTGTTATTTAACAAGAAAAAACATGAACACATCTGAATGTGACATTAAGATCGGGTACCTATGTATCTTCTCTGCTGTTTATGAATACAGCTTCATTGTAATCCAAGAACGGAGTTTAGAAGGATGCACTGTTAGTCTCGACTGTAACGTTTTTAAATTATCTCTTGAATTCAACAAAAATGTTGTCAATCAAATGGTATTTTCAAAGGAAAGAACCGATATACCAAATATTTAAGATGTGACTTAAGGTTTGTATGAGGGAAGGTATACATAATGTAAACAAATCTAAAGTTTTAACAGAAGTTATTTTAGACCAAGAACGTTCAATTTTCTGACTTAAATTTGTGATTTTGCTGTATTCAGTTCCCAAATTTATATCATTTGGCCGATTTTTATACCCAAACATTATTACTTTGCATTGTTTTCTTTATATATTATCGTATTACTCGACTTTATATATTATCATATTATTCGACTGTTCCTTTTACCCAACACTTCAGTATGCATGTTTTGTGTCTAAAACCAACACTTTATTATATTCATATTATTTTGCGCTATTTTTTCATCCTGTGATTTTAATACCCTCCGCTTTATAATTTTGCTGCACGCTTCATTTTTATTGTTTTCTAAACCCAACTAATATTGTTTTGTTCTATTCTCTACATAAGACGCTATATTATTTTTGCTGTTTTCTATACACTGAATCACCGTATTCCGTTTTCTATACCCACCGCTATAACCCTTTGTTATACTTGAGCAGACTCGATAGATCTTCCTTCTGTACAATAGGCTACATTATTTTTGCTGTTTTCTATACACTGAATCACCGTATTCCGTTTTCTATACCCACCGCTATAACCCTTTGTCATACTCGAGCAGACTCGATAGATCTTCCTTCTGTACAATAGGCTACATTATTTTTGCTGTTTTCTATACACTGAATCACCGTATTCCGTTTTCTATACCCACCGCTATAACTCTTTGTTGTACTTGAGCAGACTTGATAGATCTTCCTTCTGTACAATACGCTATATCATTTTGCCCTTTCTGTACCTAAGACTTCAGAAGTTTTCAAGTTTTGTCCTTGAGTAACAAGAACTTTGAGAATTACATTCATCTTGAACATATACGACAGACTCATTCACCTAGCATACTTCAATTGTCACCTTACTGCTGAATTCTGACTGCATACTTTCATCTGGCATTATAATATAAAATTAGATGCTTTTTACGTTGGTCAACAAGAAGACTTATACAGGCCTCTAGTTTTGCTCCTGGTACTCACATTCAGATACAAGAAGAAGAACAAAAGAAAAACACAATATATTATCTCAGATTTTTTTAATTGAATGCACAATCAAATATTTTTCTAACAGAAACAGTCCAGAATTCCTAATACAAAGTTTTATCAGGAATCTATATCATGCGTTTGCAATATTTCATGATACATGCATAAAACATTATTTACCGGACATCATAATCAGTGGTATTCTGTATATAAATACTTAGATTATAAAATATTACTTTTATAGTTTTCTCCTTTTTTTCTCCAGCTTTATATGTCCTTCAGCAAATTCAGCTTAGTTCAGCCAATTTAACACTGATGAGATATCAATAAGTGTTCCAAAAGAGATTTTCCAATGTTCTTGTCATCTTTCAAATGACTAACTGGCACACCTTCATCAGCATTGGAAGGAAAAAGAAGCTAGATGTATCTAGAAGAATTTCTGAAGAGGTTCACCAAGGGTTTTCCCCATCTCCCAAATGATGGACATGTACAAGCACCATCTAGAAATATTTCTGAAGAGGTCCACCAGGTTTTTCCCCATCTCCCAAATGATGGACAAGCACCATCTAGAAATATTTCTAAAGAGGTCCACCAAGGGTTTTCTCCATCTCCAAAATGACAAATTAGCACCATCTAGAAGTATTTCTGAAGAGGTTCACCAAGGGTTTTCTCCATCTCCCCAATGATGAACTAGCATGGTCTAGAAGTATTTATGAAGAGGTCCACCAAGGGTTTTCTCCATCTCCAAAATGATGGACTAGTACACATCTAGAAATATTTCTGAAGAGGTTCACCAAGGGTTTTCTCCATCTCCCCAATGATAAACTAGCATCGTCTAGAAGTATTTATGAAGAGGTCCACCAAGGGTTTTCTCCATCTCCAAAATGATGGACTAGCACACATCTAGAAATATTTCTGAAGAGGTTCACCAAGGGTTTTCTCCATCTCTCCAATTACAGCCTGGCATTCTTTCTCCACCTCTTCACATTCATCTGCAAAAAAAAGAAGGTACAATGATGGAAGTGTAACAGGAACAAACTAATAATTTCATAAATTCAACTTTTGACAGAAAATCTCTGTAATGTCCCTTCTTTGATAGACTATAGTACTTACCTTCCATCAACTCAGCCAGGAATGGTATAGTCTCTGGCAGTAGGCCCAGGTAGTCCTCTCCTAACTTCTTGTGTAGTTCATCAACAGCGTTCAGAGCTCCTAACCGTACCTGTAGCCATAGATACACATGTCAGGTTTTATTGATATAAATTCTCAAGCTATTAGGCAGCCTTTCTTTTGTACAGGTAAATCTGACCAGATCTTAAAGTAACATTTCTACATAACATATTTCAAATGTCTATGTAATTAATGTATCTATGCATTTCTAACAGACTTATGTAGTACAATGACATGAAAACAGTCTGTATGTTGAGTATTATCGGTGGGAATCCCCCCAAATACCTAGTATGTAAACAACAACTCCAATTGTCATAATGCTTAAGTTATGAAAATGATGTATAGCCAACTGAGGCCTGCTTGCTTCGGGCTCACTAGGCATCTGAAAGGCAATCCAGCTTGACAGGTGCTTCACTTGACTGAATAAATGTGGCAATGATGTGTTATCTGAATCAAACAGGCCACATTTTTAAACATTTTTCAAGAGTTATTATAGCTTAAAGAGGAATATAGAAATGTTCCTTTTAACATCCATTAGCCTATTAGACCCCTACCTGTCCTCTGTACAGGTAAAATTTAAGATAAACAATACCTTTAGATATTAATAAAATTTCATAAAGTTGTTCACAGAATAAGTATATACCACTGTACCATCGTCATGGTTACCATGTAATGCTGTTGAAAAAAGTGATGAGTCAATTTGTGAATGTCATATAGAGGATAATCCACATCAAAGCTATCAGCAGTATCCTACCTTTGGCTCCTCATGTCTGGTCTTCAGAAGGATCTGGTAGTTCAAGGTTTTCCACAGGGAGTCGTCCTGTATGGCTACAGCCATCTGTACTAGACAGGGTACTAGGTGATGATCCACACGCTTTCTGTACAGATTCTCACTCCGGCCAATATTGTCCAACTACAAACATAGCATAAACAACCAGATGTTTTATAAAGAGTCATTGTATGTTTTCAAATGCATTTTTTTTCCACAATTTTTTAATGTCTGAAGAGTAAAAACCTAATTTACTTCTTTTCATTACTCTCTATATGCAGTTGAAGTTTTGACTTTTTAATATTAATGAAAATTTACTTTTCAATTTCCCCGTAATGAGAAATTTAACATGAAGATATTTTTGGGGATATTTTCGAAAATTCAAGAAAACTGATCATTGGGTCTATAATAGAATCACTACAGAAGTGACCTAGTCTTTCAATCAATCTTTGTATACCTAATATAGAGTGTTTGATGTATCCAGTGTCCATATGAGTAAAGCAACCATAGAAAGTATCTAAAAGTTTCCTTACAGTCATTTGAGCAAGTCAGGTTTTTAACACTTGTGACCCTCATGTGATGAAAAATTTCTAATAAAATACCAACCTGGTCTACTAGTGGTTGCATAAGGCAGTCAAAGCGCTCCTTGTTGAGGAAACCCTCTGTGTCATACAGGAAACACTTCTGGAGACAGTCAATCACATGGACCAGCAGCTGATGAGACATTCGACGATACTGCTTTCCCTTCCCAAAGTAACCCTTACCTGTAGACAAACACATGTAATCAGGATATGTATTAAATACACGTCTTTAATTTAACTGTTTTGGCAAACAAATGTGTAAGTGTTTCTGTCAGTTAACATTTTCAACTGGTAAAAACTTGGAAAGAAATGACACAGATTGGGACTGAGGCTGACCTCTGAAAATTTGGCATTTGTAGCTCATGGGGTCCAGTAATGCCCGGCTGAAAATAAGATGACTGACTATTGCTTACTTGCATTATTTATACAAGGTCAATTCACATTACACATTTTAAGTATTAAATGTTACAAATTTTAATACATATGAGAAGGAAATCACAAACAATCCTTGATTTATTGCGATTTATTTGACAAAAACTCTGAAACTAAGTACTCTGAGGTCTGTCTATAAGGATGATCCACTCAAATTTCAAATGCTTTCATTATTAAAGAATATTTCTGTGCCACCAGGACTATTTCAACAAGAAAATGAAAGCAGACATCGTTTAGAGAAAACTGTACCTACAAAGTGAACAAATACCTTGTAGTTACATCATGGACTCGTGAGAAAGGAGTTGGATTACCATGAGGGACAATCGTGCACATGTCCAAACATAAGTTATTCCAATGTTTCTTAACATCAATTTCCACTACCGAGTATCTCTGTAAATCCACACATCAAACTTCATTGTACAGTTGTAATGCATTGGAATACTAGTTTGTAGGTGCATTACCTGTTTTGGATGAGTTATTTAGGTCCAGGAGGTCAGCAGCATGTTGTACAAAGTGTCCAGCAAACAGGGTAAACAGACTCTTTAGTTTCTCTGCTAGACTGTAAATATATAAAGTAACCTTACATTTCTAAAGAATTGCAGAATGTTTTGTATACTCAAATCAAAGTGTGACTCATATGAGCTGACCAAGTTATGTTATTGCTTACGACAGGTATTTATTGAATCAAATATAAAAGACAGTCAATGTACTATGTATAATAATATTCACCTGACAGATAGTCTGTAATATACTTTCTTTAATCACTGGATATGCAAGATACACAAAGCCTCGGTTCTGACCCACATTCTACACCTTTAGGTAGAATTTCCCTATCCCACATAGCTACATATGAAATTTTATTATAAATCCTGACTTGTGTGTATAAGTATTTGTCACCTAGTCTATATAATACTGTAATCTTGGCTGAAGTGTATCACTCACCTCTGAGCTAGTCTGTAAAATACTGTTACTCTTGCCTTGATGTCAGATTCCCTGGTCCCCCAGTCATAAAGCTACAGAAAAAACAACATCAAAATAGCTTAACAGTGCCATGTATTTCCTTAAAGAGTCTGCAGCATGTATAAAGTGTTTCAAATAGATTAAAAAAGTTTAAGCCTTCATAATTCATGATAATTACCTTGAGCAAAAATGGTCTGAATGTGGACTCTGACAGCTTCATCACCATGGAGATGATGGTCTGCATAATGCTGCCCTCTATCAAGGTCATGTCACTCTCTTCCACCTGTAAATCAGATTTAGCAAATATTACTGCAATCATATTCCTTTCCCAAAGAACTGTATGTGACAACCTCCTAAAAATGTCTTTTCTTGTGTTTTTTTTTATAAATTTTAGTTCCATATCAAGCACATACATAGAAACACAAACGAAATATAATAAATAGCAGTGTTCTGAGTACGGAAAAAAATCAGCTGGGCTAGACAGGGATTCGAACACTGGACTTCAGGCTGTTATACAAACGCTCTAACAAATTGAGCTACCTGTTTTAAAGAAGTGTCCTGGCTCAAATTGCTACTGTTATATCCACACTGAAGTTAAAGGGAGGTTACTGTATATACGAACAACCACAGTGCAGTGGGACAGGGATCTTCAAGGTCTCAAAATTTCACCTGACACTTGAAGTCAACAGAACAGACAACAATCGACTTAATTTTCACTTTACAAAATTTTATATCATCATATGGTAGAGAGTACTACCTTAAACTGATTTATAGAATCGGAGCTATTGCCTATTAAATAGAATGTAGACATATTTTCTGATCTATTATAACAATTGAAATCAATGATGACTAGGGTATACGTGTTACTTACATCTGGATGTTTGGCTCGGAAGTCCAAACACACAAGGAAGAAAGCCTGGAGCTGTGGCAGGTTACTAGTGAGGTCATCACGGCTCATATTGGCTATATGGTCCTCCAACAGGGACATAAGGGGCTTCACACACATCTACAAGGATAAGTTAACAATGACATACGTATGTATAACACAAGTGTAAAATAACAGTCCCTGAGCACTTTTGCATCTTCAGGCTCTTCTCGAGGAATGGCAATGCACAGAAAGGTCTAGATATAGGACAAACAGAAACATTATTTTTTTACTGACTATAAGCTTATTTACAATATAGGTTAATATTTAAATCTCTCAATTCTCCAGCTTAATAAACTCTGACTGCATATAAATTAGCGCATACGCAATAAAAAAACGCACACCATAGAATATGTTCGTTACCAACTGCATTCATACGACCATATATGCTGTCAAAATGCAGGTAAATCCTTATAAAAACATCTTTAACACAAATACATGTAACATATTTTTCATTGAAATATCTGTTTGTCACAAAGCCTTACCAGATCGTTATTGGAGAAATTTTCAAAGCAATTGCTGACAGATGGAAGCATGACACGGAATGGCAGTACTGTTGACAGCGATGACCTGTAACGGAGGAAAAGGAAAACTACAGCAAGGTATCTTCAACAATGTGTACACCATATTAATATAGCAAAATATTTAGAGAAAACAATCTCATTATTACACAGTAATTCTACAGTCAAAAGAATTTGGATGTTGAATAATACCTGGTATTTTTCAGCCGTTGTTGTGTCTGTGGTTTCTTCATCACATCAAGTTCCGTGTCCAGAGCAGACAGACAGCACACCTATATAAGTAAAAAAACAGGTGTTCAAGTTATAACTCTTAGGGCCTGTTCGTTTATGCTTTATCCGTTTATAAATGTTACAATTTCAGGTATAAATCCTGGCAGACCTGCAAATGTTTATGCTGGCCTTGCAAGGCTCGCCTGAAAGCAGCATCAGATTACTGGGTCCGACCTTATTTAATAAACGAACAACTGTGGTCCGACCGGTTTGGCCGTTTAAATGAAAACAGCCTTAGTCTACACCAAAACCAGAAACAGAACTACAAAAGTATGTTTTGAAGTATCAAACCAATGTATTTGTTCCATATTCTACTTATACATTGGTGTTGTCTTGTATAAAGAATCTTGAATAACCAAGAACACAATACATGTACATACCTGCCAAGTGACCCGATTTCGTCGGGTGTAACCCGAGATTTTAGCCTTTCACCCGCTTTTATAACTTCACCTGCCGGGTTACGATTTTGACCCAGATTTCGTCAATTTCACCCGTTTTCATCCGGAATCTTTTCGTATATTAGAAGTTACCGAAGTCACTCGGAATTCTCTAGACTTTTCCATCCTTCTTCATAAGAAAGACGATCTATTTTTTGTTTTCGTTTCTCACCAACAGGTAAGTTGCGAGTTGTTTATATACGTACTAGAACGGTTTTTCCAAATGTTTATACAAATACCGTTGTTACTGAACTTGCTGGCAACTCATTAGTCAGGTGTTTTAACAAATAATAGAGTTGTTTTTACAATTGTATTCACGTAGAATAGATCGTATTTTGAAGGTAACATTATGTCTTCTTGAAGAAAGAAGTCATTATCGGGACTTGCGGCTCGGGACTTGCATATACGTCTCTGACTATAGTATACACGAAATGCTAAAAGAAAAGATAATTGTTCACATATTGTAGGAAAATGAGTTTTAGTGTATAAAGTCCTGCGGTCGTGGACCAAACGCTGCATTCTGCACTCTAGTCTTTTAAATTACATATTTCAGTTTGATCTGGTGCTTAAAACGACGTTACTAAGACATTCAAAAACACGCACAGGCATTTGATGATTTGTTTTTGTCAATCAAAATTATCCTAACAATAAGAGTTCAAACCCTACTCGTATAAAACTGATATTTTATATGAGTAGGGTACAACTTCTTATTGTCAGGACCATTTTCATTGACAGAAACAAAATGGTATTTTATATGAGCAGAATGTGACATGTTATTGTCAGGACCATTTTAATTGACATAAAAAATGCCTGTGGAAACACAGTATCATATATATTATTATGAATTAATTTCATAAGTTGTGTTGTTGACAAACCTTTTTATTTTTCAGCTTTGAATTTGGTATTGTGGATGAGGATTACAGTAGCTAGATCTGCTGGAAGAACAGTTCAATGAATATAGAATGTAACTTAACATCATTAAAATATTTAAGTTCTAATTTAATATCTCTTTTTCTTATATTTGTTGCGAAAAAAGCCGTCGCGCACTATGACCCTTCTTTTTATTTCCAAAAGAGGGTCATCACCCTCTTTTAGTATGTCCGGGGTTGGCAGGTATGCATGCACTTCCCTTTGTGTTCTTTGTCTTCAGCCTTACCTGTAGAATGATGTCCTTGATGTAGGGACTGAGGAAGTTCGAGAGGTTTTCCACAACCTTTTGTAAAGTTGTAACCACACTCATCAGGAACAGCTCATTTCTACAACAGATGTCAACACAAATATTATCTCTGATCTTTATTTTTTTTTAATCTTTCTCAACAACAGAAACAAGTCACCATCATAAATGCATATTAATTACACAGCTGAAAACTATGAAGAGTTAAAAAAGCTGAAAATTCCTGGCAAAATGTACTGCTATGCCATGTATGGAAGAAAAACAAGTCCAAAGAAGATCATTGTCCTATGTATCACAGCCCAAAAACAGAGTGGAGATATCACTATTAGACAAAGGCATGACTGCTCAATTACATATCATCAAAGTGATTATAAGTCAAGGGCGACACAAGAAAAAATGTACACTTGAAAATCTAAGCAAAATTTAACTTTTACCTTTTTTTTGCCCTCCAACATGGGAGTGATAAGTACACATTATACCATGTATAGCAACTACCTGTGAAAGGCTAAATTAACGCTTGGCAAATATAGATTTTACCGGGGGAAGGGCAAAAGTAAGACAAGGCAAAGTGTCCCACCATACAACACATAAAAATGAGACAATAAATACTACATCCCGAGTCAGTTGCTATTGGATGTAGTGGACCTTCTTTGACACCAACAGGAGTCAACTTTCAAATCTGTACTTACGTTAGCAACGTGTCGTGGTTTTCCAAACAGGTGATGATTTGAGGCATGAAGGACGAGAGATGGGCGATGACATGGATTCTGAGAACTTGGGAAATCTCAGCAATACAAAGTAAGGCACATGCTGACAGCTGTAGGTTATCTCCCCTCTCACTGAACACGCGCACTGCAAGCTTCAGAACCTATTGGAAATAGTGCAGTTTTGACAATGCAATGAATTAATTTTTAATAGAATTTATTCATTTGACTACAAAATGATATATATGATAATTAATTTCTCCTACGTATACACCAGTGGGTGTAGGATAGAGCTATCTTCTGTCAAGTAGTAGACACGTATGGTTGTAACTCCATCAGTTAAGGGCAAGTCACAACGGTAACTATTGTATGACATCACATTTCCTATTCAGACTGAATAATGTATCATACAAGAGCAGGGAAGCTGGTCATAGAAACCAGTGTTTTTTCACTGGACAATTTCATTTTACATCATTTTTGACAAGAAATGGGAGAAAAAACCCAATCCACATGAAGAAGTATGATTCTAGCTTTATAGGTTACACTTTACTATCGTTTTCGTTTGTGTCCAAAGCTTACCTTGATGAAGGTGTGTGGGTTGTTCTCCCCCAAATGACGACACAAGAGTTTAAGTCCGTACAGAGCCGTCTGAGCATTGACAATGGTCTCCTCCACACCACCCGCGACCAGACAGGTCCTTTCTATAATACCACGGGTCTTGTCCACAAGGGGCAGGAGCAGGGATACCTAAACAACACAATGTCTTTATTTGAAGTCTAATAAGGCAAAGAAACTATAGCCAGGAATGTCTCCCCATTTTAAATCTTAACTTTATACAAGTTGATATTAAACATAAATCTTATATGTATAGGGATTTACCTTGATTTACATATATTTTTTTTTTTCTTCCAACATCTTTATTTGTTTTTTTCACATGTTATTTTACAAAAGACAGTACAAAACACAACTTGCATACACTCTTGCTCTCGTACTATGGATATTTAAGGAGAATTTGCGAATACCCATCCGAGGTGCGCATTACACATGTAGTACCTGTGTATTTGTGACTGTAACGGTCTGGAGTTGGAATGAATTATTCGAAATTGGTTAATACACATCTCGGGCGGCGATCAAATTAGGTACAAGTTATAGGTGCATATATGGATAAATATACAATACTTGGTAAATAAGCTATGGTATCATTAAGTTAAAAACAGTCTCCATTTGATTGATTTACATATATTGGTAGAAGAACATAAATTTTGCTCTCATTTTTACTAAAATTTATGTTCTTCTACCAATATACCTATGTGTTTTATTCTTGGTAAATACAAAGAAGGTATCTGTCTCTTGTTGTGTGTTTTATGGCCTTTAATTTCTCTTAAAGTTGGAAAGTATATGTGCTTTCTGGAGGGTAAAGGCAACGATAGAAGGTAAAGATACATGTACCACATGTGCTGTGAGGGTGTCCTATTTCTGATGACGATAGAAGGTAAAGATATATGTACCACATGTGTTGTGAGAGTGTCCCATGATATATATACCTCATGTTTTGTTAGGGCCACCCGTTTCTGATGTAGGTTGGTATTGAGCAGCTCCAGGGCCTTTCTCTGTACATTCGGGAGACTGTGGTCCATCAGCGAGGATACTACCTCCACAAACATGTCCTCCGGTAACAAAGTCACAACCTATTGCAAGTCATGCCAAGTAATTAGATTCATCAACCAAAATCTATAGGGTTATGTATCAAGTAATCAAAATCACAAAATTCCAGCATGACAAATTCCATTTAGCATATCAATGTATGTGATAAATCCTCACCAAGACTTAACACACACAAAGAGACAAACACTTAACATGGTTTTATCTACAATATTCTTACCTTCTCTAGTAGATCATATACTTTGTGTTGAAATGCTCTCCAAAACCTTGCTGTTATAGTTTCTTGGTAAGTGTCTGTTGCTTTGGAAACCTTAGACAGAAACTCCAGGATGGTTTGAAGAAGACCTTTAAACTTAATCAGTAGTGATGCATCTTTACAATTTGAAACCTGCAAAGGAGGTTGAAGAGAAATATGAGAGATGTGTAGAATGATAAGTATTACCTGTACAATAAACACCTGGTTGGTGTACAGAGAGATAAGAAGTGTTACCTCTACAATATACACCTGGTTGGTGTACAGAGAGATAAAAAGTGTTACCTGTACATTTACACCTGGTTGGTGTACAGAGAGATAAGAAGTATTACCTGTACAATAAACACCTGGTTGGTGTACAGAGAGATAAGAAGTATTACCTGTACAATATACACCTGGTTGATGTACAGAGAGATAAGAAGTGTTACCTGTACAATATACACCTGGTTGGTGTACAGAGAGGTAAGTAGTATTACCTGTACAATATACACCTGGTTGATGTACAGAGAGATAAGAAGAGTTACCTGTACAATATACACCTGGTTGGTGTACAAAAAGATAAGTAGTATTACCTGTACAACATACACCTGGTGGGTGGACAAAGTGATCAATAGTATTACCTGTACAATATACACCTGGTTGGTGTACAGAGAGATAAGTAGCTCTACGACTTTGTACTTGAAGTGCCGCAACTGTTTGGCAGAATGAACCTTCACGTTGTATATCTCTGTGTCTTCTTTACGCAGCTTTCCCAGTGAATGGGGCTGAGCCACCCGCTGAGCTAGCTTCTCTATAAAGAACACATACAGGAAATTTTGATCACTCATTGTTTCACAATATCAGATTATAAATGGAAACACATATGTTCAGGTATTTTTTTCTTTTATTTGGAGTATTTTCTTTCCTATATAGGTGATGAAGCTATAAAATACAAGTGTTGCAGGCTTAAAGTTACTTCCCTTGTCAAGTTATACATCCAACTAATGATGCTGTGCATTTATGATTACTAGATGGCAAGAATGGTAACATTTAGAATCGGCACTGGATAGGCCCTGAGTTCAATCTCTTTTGTTTTGTTTTACTTTTTCTTTCAAGTGCATGAATTTTGAACAGTTGAAAATGACTTTGATTTTTTTTTCATATTAGCAACAATGCTAATACAATTACAAAGGTTTACCCACTTACACTCTCTGCAACCACGGAATGTGTCATAGCAAACTTGAAGTCAAGCTGTTAGCTATTTCATTGATCTTGGTTAAAAAACCCACACTTTTGCTATGCTGATACCTGTGCTTTGAAGATTACACAGGAGAACACCCGACTTTCAAGCCAGTCACTTTTTCCATTATGCTAACATGAGATTCTTTTGATCAAAGTATCAAACTAGTCTTCTAGTCTCATCCACAAGGTTGCAAACATGGAGCCTTCAATTTTGTCATGAAATATTCCAGGGGTGCAGAGAGTGTAAGTGAGCTTAACCCCTGGAGTATAGAGGATGGTATCTAATACATACCCTCTGTTTTATCATCTGGAAGTTCCCCAAGATACTTGATGGCTGCTGTGGCGAACTCCAGTTGTGTTGTGACAGAGAACTGACCAGAGAGTTGTAAACAGAACTCCATATCCTTGGACAGTATCTACCAATTACACATATTATAGTATATTACTATATCTGTATAACATTATAAACTGTTAAATTTTGTATAACATTATAAATTACTAAATTTTGAGTAACATTATAAAATTACTAAATTTTGAGTAAACATTATAAAATTTCAAAATTTTGAGTAACATTATAAATTACATTTTTTTTGTGTAACATTATGAATTACTACATTTTGTATAACATTATAAACGGTTACATTTTGAGTAACATAATAAATTATTACATTTTGTTCAATATTATAAATGACTACATTCTGTATAACATTATAAGAGAGTATGCTTGGATTACTTATCATCCAGATATATAAAGCATTCCTACTTTAGTCAGTAAAAAAATATGTAATCTGTTTAAGTGAAAATCTCTGAAAGTATCTGGCAAACCTCAGCAAAATAACAGGATTTTTTCGTGAATATAATGATATAAGATATAAATACAAAATGTAAGGCCTACCTCACGCTCAGTGGCCGGAGTATCGTCACTGGACTGTGTTCCTCTGGTAACCAGGTGAGCGACCAGTAAGAGAAGTGTGCGCCACAGGTAAAGGTCATCACCCACAATCTTAACGAGTTTGGTGAATAGCATCAGACGACGATGGTCAGGGATGTGGGAGTAGGCATCCACGAACACTCGGATAACCATGGTGATTACATCCTCCACCTTATTGGACACGCCTCGGGGCACCTTGGTCCTTTGTTCACAGGCCTGCGAAAATCAAACACCCAAATATTACCCCATTTATCATGTATTATACTCAAGACCATTGAAATTTAATTTACAGCAGATTTGTCAGCATAAATAGTTTGAGAGTAAAAACAAACAAGAGGCCCATGGGCCTTAACGGTCACCTGATATATTTATACAGAGAGTTGATTTTGTTTTTAACATGAACAGAAATATTATTCAAAGTGACAAAAAACAATAAAACCACCTTATTCAATATCTAGCATACAGATTTCAGACTAAAAAGGATTTGAAACTAGCACCTCTGATTCTTAACAAGGAAAATGAAGAAATTTTAGCACACTGACTCCTTTGAGCCCCACCCTACAGCCCTT